TTCTGTACAAAAAGAACTTTTCATCAACAGGTAGAAGCTATCTGCTGGTAGTTCCTGGAGCTCTCCGCAGCGAAATTTTACAAGCCTGCCATGACGAAGCCACTGCGGGCCACCTCGGTTTCACAAGAACACTGACACGCATCAAAGAAAAATATTACTGGCCAAGAATCGCAGCAGAGGTTAAACAGTACGTCCAAACATGCATTGACTGTCAGCGGCGCAAGGTACCACCTGTCAAACCCGCTGGGCTATTACATCCTGTGCCCGTGCCAGAAACCCCGTTTTCTCAAATCGGAATGGATCTGCTGGGCCCATTCCCAACATCGGACAGCGGCAACAAATGGGTTATAGTGGCGACGGACTACCTCACCCGATACGCGGAGACCAAGGCAATCGCGAGTGGCACTGCAGCTAAATGCAGCTATGCACGCAGCATTAATGCTGCGTGCATAGCTGTATCCGTTCGGCTGGTACGATACTTCTGGAGCCAATGGACGACGCACAGCATCTGCATAGGTATACGAGTTTGGACGGTGCGGTGGAGCAGAATATTGCTGAGGAGAGGCAAACGCTTGTCGAAGTTCATGGCGAACTATTTCAGCGACGGAGGCTACCGTGGACTCCTGCTGCGGGGGCGCCTGTGACTGCAATGTGTATTTCGCGTTCTCCTTCGCGATCTCCTCACGCACGATCTGTCTAATCAGGTGGCGTAGAGCAAACTCGTCGTTTGCGGTAAGTGCGGCGGCGCCTGCAGCTGCGCCGGTGGCCGGGCGATCAGACTGTCGGTACCGTTGCTGTAGCGCACGCTCTATTGCGGTGGCCTCCCTGGTGAACTCGTCCACTGTTGTCGGTGGATTGCGCACAAGACCAACAAATAGCTGCTCTTTGACGCCCCTCATGAGATGGGTTAGCTTTCGAGCCTCGGGCATGTTGGGGTCCGCGCGGTGGCACAGGCGCACCATATCCTCAGCAAACATGGCGACGCTTTCATGCAGCTGTTGGGTGCGTCCTTCAAGAAGGCGTTGTGCGTTTTCGCGTCGGTCCGCGTTACCGAAGGTGTCAAGAAACCGACGACAAAACTCCTCCCATGTCGTCAATGTTGCCTCCCGGTTTATAAACCATGTCTTCGCGCCGTCTTCAAGGGCGAAGTATACGTGGAAGAGCTTTCCATCGAGACTCCAGTAGTTCGATTTAGCTACCCGTTCGAACTGCTCAAGCCAGTCTTGTGCATCTTCGTTCGGCCGGCCATGAAATGGTTCAGGAATGCGCATATTCTGGACCGTCACCTGTGCAGGACTCCTTGCCATTTCTTGAGTAGGGGTGGTTGTCGGAAGTGTTGCTCCCTTTAAAAGGCCAAATTCTGGTTCAAGACCTTGAAGGCGACGGCTTGAGCGGTGCACAGGCGTCTCCACGCGTGGCTGTCTCGTAGGGCTGGACTCGGGGCTTCTCACAGGGGTGCTGATCATGGGGTGGTAGTACCCAGCACCTCCACCAGTGTCGCGGGTTATAAATGACAGGGGGGTTTATTTAAAAACACGGACAGTAGGACTTGTAGAGACGCTCTCAGAGAAGGCCGCTAAGATTGTCCTCTTCTTCACTCTGCTGCGCTGCGCCTCTCGAGCGAATCCGCGTTCTTCGTTGTCGTCGCTATCTCGCCGCTAAATGCAGCTATGCACGCAGCATTCGTCGCTATCTCGCCGCTAAATGCAGCTATGCACGCAGCAATACGAAGGGCAAGACTTTAAATTGATAAAACCCGTCAGGCGTTACATAAGCCGTTTTTTCTCTATCTCGCTCGTCGACCTCAATTCGCCAATACCAACTTTTGAGGTCCATTGACGAGAAGTGGCGTGCATACCTCAGCCTGTCGAGTGAATCATCGATGCGCTGTAATGGGTGCACGTCTTTCTTTGTCACATGGTTCAGCTTGCGCTAGTCGACACAAAATCGCAAGCTTGCGTCTTTCTTTTTAACCAGCACTACCCGCGATGCCCAAGGGCTTCTTGACGGCTGGATGACGTCATCATCGAGCATTTTCTTCACTTGTTCCTGGATCGCTTTGCGCTCTTTCGGTGCTACGCGGTATGGGTTCTGTCATATTGGCCTTGCCGTCTCCTTCGTTATTACCTAGTGCTTCGTCAGTGGTGTTTCACTGACTCTCGAGGTTGATGAAAAGCAGTCTTTGAAATGGTGAAGAAGATCTACTAGACGCTGTCTCTGCGCTGGTGACAAATTCGTGCTTACGTCAATAGGTGGTGGGGCTGACGTGGCTTGTGGCTCGTCCTGTTGTACTGCACAGCACTCGCAGATTTCGGTGATCTCATCGAAATAGGCAACTATAGTGCCTTGTGTAATGTGTCGTCGCTCCTTGGTAAAATTCGTCAACAGAACCTCCACTTCACCGCACACAACATTGACGATACTTCTGGCAATTGCAACACCGTAAGAGAGTAGAAGCGTCAATACTTGTTGAGCGATTCCTTCTCCAGTATGCTGCGTGCTGCACGTGACCGAAACAAGGCGGCACAATAACGGAGGTACGATCACATCGTCAATGACTCGCAAGGATTTTTGGTGTAGCGCTGCGCTTTGATTCGCTGAAAAGGTTAGTACACCGTCCGGTATATTGATGATGGCACCACATTCACGCAAGAAATCCATCCTTAGGATTGCATGTTTGCAACACTTGGAAAGAATAATGAAAGTTGCGACGAAGGATGCATCCCCTATCTTCATTCTTGCGGTGCACTTTCCGGTAGGTGTGAGTAGCTGCCCTCCAGCTCCTCTAATCTGCGGTCCTGTCCTTTCTATTCTAACTTTCTGGAGCTTTTCTGCCAGACTCTCACTCATTATTGAGAAGTCCGCGCCAGTGTCGACCAATGCTATGACGTCATGTCCGTCAATCGTAATTGCAACATCGGCAGTAACAACCCTATCTTTGGTCTAATCATTGAAGGTTTGTGTCTCTTCGCTCGGCAGTATTGGGGGATTTTCGGCACTTCGACGATTTGCAACCTTCCCCACTGAGGTCGCTGCTTTTAGTTTCCTCTTGGCATGTCGGTGGTGCTCCATCTAGAGGATGGAGAATAACGCCCAGGAGAGGGTGACCACGACTGAAACCCAGGAGGAACATCCCGCGGGGTCATAACACTCGTGTTGACGTCAGGTGTTTCGCTGAAATGGCGCCGAGGAATAGTAGAAGGAAACCCTTGGCAACCTGCGACGCCATATGGGCAATACCGAACGGTGTGGCCTGCTTCCCCATCATGAAAGCGCAGGGGCCTATGGTCAGGGGTACACCAGACGTCTGTTTTGCGAAGTGCTGGCCGCCTCGGCGTCCAAGTTTCTCTGTAGTACCAAGGCGCTGTCGGCGGATGTTGCTGGTGGTACTGATGCGGTGTCGGCACGTTGGCTGGCTGTTGGCGGACTATGTCTGCATAGCTTGCCCTGGGGGTGCTCGTGTTCAGCTCAGGAAGCGAGAGCGCTTGCCTGATCTCTTGGCGCACAACTTCTGTTACTGAGGCAATTGCGCAGTCATTAGGTTTGGCGACGAGCTTCTTGACCTCTTCTTGTACGATTTCTCGTATCAGTTGGCGCAAAGAACCTTGGTCGGGTGTCGTTGCTGCGGTCGTGGCTGCCACACTGATCGGTGCACTGTGGGTTGGGCGTTCATACTGCCGGTAGCGTAGATGCAGTGCGCGTTAGATGGATGTCACCTCCTTGGAGAATTCAAAAACTCCTGTAGGCGGGTTTCGTACGAGACCAGCGAACAGCTGCTCCTTAACGCCACGCATGAGGTGGCTAACCTTTTTTGCTTCGAGCATATTGGGATCTGCTCAAAGAAATGGCCGCGCCATGTCCTCAGCAAACATCGTAACAGATTCATTTGGCTTTTAAATTCGTGACTTAAGGAGATGCTGTGCGATTTCTCGTCTTTCGGTGCTCGAGAACGTATCGAGGAACTTCTGCCGCAACTCGTCCCAAGACGACCACATGTGATTCGTAAACCATGTTCGGGCTTCGTCTTGAAGCGGAAAATACACGTAGCCCAATTTATGTGTGGTGTTCCACCCGTTAACATTCGCTGTGTGCTCGAATTCGCCGAGCCAGTCATGTGTGTTCTCATATGTGTTTCCGTGGAAGTCAACCGGAAGTTGAGGGTTCAAAACAGTCACCTGTGTCGTGCTTGGGCTGGGCATGTTAGGGCCAGTGCTTCCAGGTGCCGTCATGCTTTCTGGCACGGTCACGCTTTCCGGCAATGGACCGAACTCCGGGCTGAGGACTAACAGGCAGCGGCTGCTGCGGTGAATGGGGGTGTTGATGCGTGGAAGTCTTTCTGGACTAGATGTGGGGCTGTTGTCAGGCGTCCCGAACATGTTCCCAGTGCCTCCACCAGTGTTACAATGCAGAAACAGCAGCAGTTGAATACAGGACAACTCGCTTTAATTGTACCAGAACACTGGCAAACTCATTGGGTGAGAACCTCGTCTTTCTCTTTCTCTGCGCGTGCTCTTCGTTGTTCTCTTGGTGCTGCATATTCAATGCGGCAATATGGTTGATAAAGCTAATAATCCAGGGAGTCCTTTTACCTCCAGTGCTGCTGGTACCGGTGCCAAGCTATGAGAATGAGTAGGAAAAAAATGTGTCACAGAAAGCTGTGGTGAGGCAAAAGCTTAATCTTGAGACCCCTCACCTTTAATGTTCTGCTCTATACTTGATAACATTTGCACCCCCCCAAACACACACATAAGGGGAGCCCTACACAGACCTATGCATGCAAACATCTATCTTAGTGCAATATCCCTGCCATGTTATGGATTTTTCCTCAATACACATTACGAACGTCCACTTTTAAACAAACTTTATGTATGAATGCAACTTTGTATTGCTTTTGCTTCCTTCCACTGTTTTGTGTGCACTTATAGAGTCAAGAGCGAGTAGTTCACTATCTTGCCAAGAGTGTTCCCCTGTTTAACTCTGCCGCTATTGTCATTGTAAAGGCACTTCATGCCGTGGAGGGCAGTGCCATGATCCACTTCCTGCCAACCACGCTGAACCAACTTTGGAAGCTTCTCGTGAGCACGGGAAGCGAGGAAGTTGCACTGAACACAGTTCGCGTGCTCATCCACTTGGTGACCTGCGTGCACGAAGCTGGTAGGGAAGACATTCTGCACAGCTACGTCCAGGTGCGTACCCCACATCGTCGGCTTAATGGTGGGTACCTTGCTGTCGACCAAAAAGTGTCAAGTGTGATTCAACATGCGATATGCGAGCGTACTGTCATTTTTTAGAGACACATAGCAAGTGTACCTCACGTAAATGACCTGCAGTTTAAGACATCAGATTTGTAACTAGACTCGAATCATCCAATTGGGTTACTACTCAGTGTATCTGTGTGTGACCTGAGAAAAGAGAATTCGTATTATGGCAGCGCCTGTGCAAATACATAGACAGCTAGAATGATGAGATGGGGTGAAGCTCGAAAGATGTAATTCATAGTTGCATGAAATTTTGTCATGCTAGGAGCCTTGCAGCGATTTAGGACTTACATCACTAAGTTGAGCCAGTTGATAAGAGTTCATCATCGAGGGAAGCAAGATGTGTCGATTATTTATCTTCTCTTGTGTCTGTGTTTGCACTACTTACATTATCCTATTTTTAATGACTTTAGCTATGACGTTATTGACTGATTGATGACTGTGATGATTGGTGCGTGCATGGAAAACGGTGCCCACTGTTACACACTTGATTTTAGGACACAACTTTTCACACAGTTACAAATAGTGTTTTTCATTTCATTTGCTCATATATATGTGTTCCTTGCCTTTCATTTTCAGTTCATGTTTGTAACTGAGCCGCCTCAAGGCTCGCAGCAGACGACCGTGCACGAGGAGTTGACGAAGGCCCTCTCGTCGCTGCTGGGTCCAGATAATGCAGACTTCCTGGTGGTGCACAAGTTCTTGCACCAGTCGTGGTTCTTCTTCCAGATCCTCGCTAAGTCCATGGCTCAGCATCTCATGAACACTGATCGGATTAAGGTGTGTGCACTTTACTGCAATACGTATTGTTGCTGAGCTTCTGCATGTTTTACAGCAAAAGCTGTTATGAGATCACAATGATCACAATGTTATGAGATCACCATTGACACAGTAGGGCTCGAACCCGGGTCCGCTAGGTTCCCGCCCAGTATTCTACCACTGAGCCACGCGGTGCTTAAAACTTTTCGGCAAGCTTGCCTTAGTCAGGCTTGATGTCGGAAAAGCAATTGCGTTAACACGACTTATAAAGTGTTTTAAAACAGCGAAGGAACAACCAGTTGTTGCACAATGTGAATAGTGTAACGAGTGGCTGATCCAGCGCTCCAACCCATTACAAAAGCTTGTTCTTGATCACCTATTAACTGTGGCGCATACCTACTTCAGGCATAATTCCTCATCGTGGTCAGCCACTGCATGAACTATTGGCATAAAATTCTTTGCAAGTGTTTAGCGGATACCATGCTTCTTAGAAGATTGAAGAAAAATAGCATAGCGAATGCCGACCCACTATTCAAAAAATTTTATTATTAATGCCGTAGTGGGTGTCAAGCAAGAATTGTTTGCAGCAGTTACCCAGTGAGTGTAAGCTCTGAAAAGCCGCTCTTTTAGCTTTCGCTGTGACTGTGCTGCGCCTTCTGCCCAGGCCTGGCATTTTTTTCATTATATCACCACATGCACAGCGACATACTTAAAATTTTATTAGTGAAATCAGTTAGCAAGTAAAACTCCAGTTGAAAAATGTCGCGATAGGTTTTGATAGCAAGAAGTCTGCCACTAACAATTGTCGTAGCAGTAAGGTCATCACAAGGTCTGCTATTCAGTATGAGAAGGCTTTAACTTGAAGTATTGTGCAGTCACTGCATATTTAGTGGACATGTTCATGCTGTCAGGCTATAAGAAGAGTAGGAGTTAGGACCAATGAGAGTATTGCGGAAACCTTGCTCGCTTGATTGTTACTATATGCTTTGGTTCCTCCTCACTATGGGGTATTGGCCATTAGACCGGTGGTTATTGTGATGGGGAAAAACGAATTTCAAATTTTGATGAAGAAAAATAATTAGTCAGTCATCTAAGGAATATAAGAGTCGACAAGGAAACCTGCAGTTTGCAAACAACTTTTTGATGTGCCACAGTACCGAAGGTCACATGAAAGAAATGCGTGAGGACTTTAGCTGACAAAGTCTGAGAGCAGGTTTAAATATTATTATGCAAAAGACTAAAGTAACGCCAAATATTACAGAAGGACATTTTGTGAGGCGAGTGAATATTTTGATAATTGAAGACATAACAGCAACTACATGGAAATAATAGGTTCTCATTCTTTTGTCTTCTTTTTCTGTAGGGCAGTTTTTTGTATCTTAGAGTTCAAAATTTTTGTCTTAGAGTTCAAAAGTTTATAAGTTTGGGCAATGATGCATTTATCTAGGCGAGGTGCTCTTCTGGTTGGCATATTAGTGACAATCTACCGTAGAATAAAAACGAAACGATCAGACCCAGCAGGTGTCTTAGAACGTTTACTACGAATGAGCTTACTACTATTTATTAAGGAACAGCATGCAAAGATTGTTCTATTAAAGCTAACATAATGAAGAATGTTGGAAATTATGTTAAGAGACAAGAATACAAGAAGGCAATCAAAAGGAGGAGCCAATATTAGTTTAAATAATAAGATGCACCAACCAAGATGCTAAAAGGACGCTAATGTGAAAGAAGTAGTGGGTTTATATTGATAAAGTGTGCTCTGAGCTTTCTCATGTAATTAATTTTACTATCATAAATTTATTAATAGAAGAGACTATCAAGGCCAAAGTTGGCACAGATTTCACGCTGAAATATCCACTTACATACACATCACACATTTCAAAGTGAATTTGTCCCATTTTGCTGATACTGACTATGTGGAATTTCCTGGTATGTTATGTCTATGGCTTCTGCGGGTGCCAGTGTACAGCAGAACATCGCCGATACGGTCCCACCTAATACTATTTTTCGGGTCCTACACTCCAAATTGTGAAAACTCAAAATGCCCCCATAGGGCTATGTGTTTATACGTTCTGCTTAACACGTTTCGGAAAAATACGATTATTCGGCAGCAGCCTTCGGCATTGCGGCAAACTGCGGTCATATTGTTACGGGTAACTTATTTAATAAATTAAATACGATGCACCGTGCTCAGCAAACAAGATGGCGACAGTTCATCAACAACCAGCCACCAACGTCGTCCTTCTCTTTCTTGTAGCCAGGCTGTGCCGGCTGTTGTGTATCATAACCCCCCGGCGGTAGAAGCACCGTCTCTGTGCTTGAGCAACTCGGATGCGGTAGAAGGAGGGTGATAAGGCTTGAGTCAAGCTATGTGCACGATGTCACTCGAAGGTGACGATGATGACGTTGAATCGGCTGGAACGATCTCGTATGTAATGTCAGTCACCTGGCGAACGACGCGATATGGTCCAGTGTAGCGTGACAGCAGCTTTTCAGAAAGCCCTACGCGCCGAGTGGGGGACCAGAGGAGGACAAGGGAACCCGGTGAAAAGTGCACGTTTCGATGATGGGAATCGTAGAGCTGCCTTTGGTGTTCCTGTGAGGCCTGCAGGTGGCTGCGGGCGAGTTGGCATGCGGGGTCGGCTCGCGCAATGGCTTCGCCGGCATACTCAGTGACCGAGGGCAGCAAGGTGTCAAATGGTAGGGCGGGTTCTCGGCCGTATAGAAGATAGAATGGTGAATAGCCGGCAGTGTCAGGACGTGACGAATTATATGCGAACGTCACAAATGGCAAATGAACGTCCCAGTCCTGGTGGTCGGCTGCTACGTATTTAGAAAGCATGTCGGTTATGGTGCGGTTGAGGCGCTCCGTAAGACCGTTCGTTTGCGGATGGTACGAAGTGGCAAACTTGTGCTTGGCAGAGCAAGAGCGCAGGATTTCATCAACGACAGCTGATAGGAAGGTCCGGTCCCGGTCAGTGAGAAGTTTGCGTGGAGCTCCGTGTACTAAAATAATATCATATACCAGAAAGTCCGCCACATCGGTTGCGCAACTCGTCGGAAGTGCTCGTGTGATAGCGTACCGTGTCGCATAGTCAGTGGCGACAGCGATCCATTTGTTGCCTGAGCTGGAGATCGGGAATGGGCCAAGCAGGTCGAGGCCAACTCGAAAGAAAGGTTCAATGGGAATGTCGACCGGCTGAAGGAATCCAGCTGGTAGGGAAGATGGCTTTTTGCGGCGCTGGCAAGGCTCACAAGCGGCGACGTAGCGTCGAACAGAGCGGGCAAGACCAGGCCAAAAGAAACGACGACGTACACGGTCGTATGTGCGAGAGACGCCCAAGTGGCCCGCCAAAGGAGCGTCATGAAGTTGGTTGAGAACAGTCGAACGAAGATGTGCTGGTATGACGGGGAGCAAGTCATGGCCATATGGATCGAGGTTACGGCAATACAAGATGCCGTCTTTTACCAGGAACATTTGTAGAGATGCGTTGCGACGCATTGACTCAAGCTTGTCAATGATGGTCCGCAGGGAAGCATCCCAGCGTTGTTCGTGGCCAAGGTTGAGTAGCTGCGTCACAGACAGAAGGTCTGGAAAGGTGTCAGTATGGGCAGCCTCTTCCACAGGTAAGCGTGATAAACAATCTGCATCTTGATGTGACTGCCCTGTTTCGTACGATACGGTGAACGTGTATTCTTGTAATCGTAGGGACCAACGAGCGAGGCATCCTGTGGGATCCTTGAGTGAGGCCAGCCAGCAGAGCGCGTGGTGGTCGGTGACTTTTCGACGAGTTCAGTTGAAGTCCGGCTCGACGAAAAACTTCAAGAATCACCGATAAACGCTCGAGATGAGAGTCGAATGCGGGCGAGAAAACGATAACGTTGTCTAAATAACATAAGCAGGTTGACCATTTAAACCCTTGTAGCAATGCGTCCATCATTCTTTCGAATGTGGCCGGCGCATTACAGAGACCAAAGAGCATAACTTTGAAGTGATAAAGCCCGTCAGGAGTGACGAATACGGTCTTCTCACGGTCCATCTTGTCCACAGAGATCTGCCAATAGCCAGATGGAAGGTCAATAGTGGAAAAATACGTAGCACCGTCAAGGCAGTCTAAGGCATCGTCGATTCTAGGCAACGGGTAAACATCTTTCTTCGTAATTTTGTTGAGATGCCTATAATCTACACAAAAGCGCCATGTTCCATCCTTCTTTCTGATCAGGACGACAGGAGAAGCCCAGGGGCTACAAGAGGGCTCGATTATGTCTTTTGCAAGCATCTTTTCGACTTCCTGTTGTATGACTGTGCGCTCGGACGCGGAAACACGGTATGGACGTCGTTGAATGGGACTCGCGTCACCATTATTGATGCGATGAGTAACAACACTCGTTCGGCTTAAAGCCGTGCTGGTGAAGTCAACGTCGACTTGATGAACGTGATAGAGTTGGTTCATGGTCTGAGGTACAGCAATCATCCACTCTGAAGGGTTCAACCGTATGGTCTTGTAGAGCAGTAATTTCGGCCAGGGAGATGCCTTGTGGAAGAATTTGGGCAGTGAGGGCAAAATTGACAATAGGAAGGCATGTGCGGTTTTCAACTATTGTCAAAATGGTGTGCGGAACAGCGACGCCATGCGTAAGCATCACGGCATGAATTGGGGCCACCATGTAATCGCCGTCAGGTACAGTTGGTGTAGAGAAGAGGTCGATATGTGTGACACAGTTAGGCGGAAGGCGTGCGAAATCAATGCAGCAAAGGCGACATTGGGGTGGGTTGGTCAGATCAGAAAGTAGAGGCATTTCAAAGTTAAGACAGCCGGCTGAACATTCTATAAGGGCCGAGGGAGCGGCTAGAAAATTCATGCCTAGAATCGCTTCATGAGGGCAATTTTCTATAACGGTGAAAAGAACAGCAGTGCTTCTATCAGCGATAGTCACACAGGCAGAGCACATGCGAATAATCGCGGCAGTTCCTCCGTCGGCGACTCGAACGGCTCGGTTCAAGGCGGGTGTGATAACTTTTTTTAGGCGGCGACAAAGAGCAGCAGTCATTATGGACACATGCGCGCCGGTATCGATCAACGCGCGCACAGTTACATTGTCTAAAGTAACGTTCAACAGATTCCGGGTGGTTGGTAATGTTACACAAGGATTTCTTGCAGAGGTCGTCGTCAATGCAGCTTCACCTCCAGAAGCTGCACTGCCTAGTTTTCCGGTCGGGGGCGCTGCGAATAGGTCGGAGAGGCAGGACGGCATTGTGGGGGTGAACGAGATTGACGGCGAGCAGGGGATAAGTGAGCGGGCATAGCGAGGTCTCGTTAGAGGTGCGGCAGAATCAGAGGATGTGGTTGGCTTAGGGGAATCAAAATCAAATGTTGAGGACGACTGGTGGACAGAAGTGGCCTGTGTAGGAGGCCCATAGTGTGCCGGCGGAGCCCAGTGATTGCGGCAGTGGCGAGCAATATGACCGGCACGTCGGCAGTTGAAGCATACGGGCTTGTCGTCCAGTGTACGCCATTCCGACAAATTGTGCTGTCGAGAGTAGTTGGAACCAAATCGAGGAGCAGAGGGACGACGATAAAAAGGCTCGGCAGAGTAGACTGGTTGAATGGGGTGTAGGCCAACGTTCGATAATTCTTGGCGAACGACGGCTTGTATCAGTGAGATAGTGGTCGGTGAAGGATCAGGCGTTGGAAATGGAGTAACTACTGGTTGGGCTGCTTCGACCTCGCGACGAATGATGCGGGTGAGGTTGTCACATCAGGGAACTGGGCGGACAGCGTCATCACAAGAGGAAGTAGCAGCTGTGTTCGGCAGGCGCGTGATGCTATGGTTGACGCGGCGGGCTTTAGCCTGTTCTAGACAGCAGCATTCTGTCAGGATCGTGTCGATGCTCGTGACATTATTAAAAACCAGCAGGTTGAAGGCATCGCCAGCAATCCCTTTGAGGACGTGATTAACTTTTTTCTTCTTCAGACATGCGCTGGTCGACCTTGCTACAAAGCCAAGACGTCAAGAATATATGAGACGTACGATTCAGTAGACGTCTGGGCGCGAGTGGCGAGAGTCTTCTTGGCAGCGAGCTGACAACCAGACGAATCGCCGAAAAGATCACGGATCTTCGATTTGAAAAGATCCCAGCTTGTGATTTCGGCTTCGTTGGTTTCGAACCATGTCCGCGGCGTGCTGTCGAGGTAGAACACAACATTGGCGAGCATGAGCATGGGATCCCAGCGGTGGGTAGCACTGACTCGCTCGTACCGGTGCAGCCAGGAGTCAACGTCGATGGTACCATCAGCGGGGAAAGTTCCAGGATCCCGCAGGGGTGGCAGGGTGACGTAGGTTGTCGACTCGGATCGAGAGACCGGTGGAGATGAGGCACTGGCAGTTGAAGTAGCCGGGGAGTCCCCGGTGTTGCGACCGCTGCGCGTCTCCATCGAGGTACGATAGTCATCCACCTCCACCAATAATGTTACCGGTAACTTATTTAACAAATTAAATACGATGCACCGTGCTCAGCGAACAAGATGGCGACAGTTCATCAACAACCAGCCACCAACGTCGTCTTTCTCTTTCTTACAGCCAGGCTGTGCCGGCTGTTGTGTATCATTATGATACATTCTGCAGACAAATATTCAAGTAATGCTCTCTCTTTCTTTCGTGAAAACCGACAAAAAGTTAGGGGTTGCGAGCGTTACGTGAAGAAAGTTTTGCGCAAAAACGTACGGGGCAAAAAGAAAAAGAAAACTATGTGGTTGGTAATCAGGGTTCTCATGATGCAACTCAACTAAGAGCTTTCAGAAGCACTAATCAAGACTTACCTTAACACTAATACCACAGGTTCTACACTAGGCATAGCGTTAGGGTTTCGTCGCTCAACGGGAGCCTGCAAAAGGTAAGCATACAAAGTCAACCTTAGGCTGATGGTCGTCTAACACAGAATCTTTGGCAGTTACCTTCTATTGAAATAAACCTTTACCACCCATCCATCCCAGTCTTAGGCACACGAAAGGATTAGCACATCTTGTTGGGTTTCAGCTGCCCATGCTTTCTTTGCCAGTAGCGACCATAAAATGCATCGACTCCAAAGTGCGGCCCTGTTGCCGTTGTCTAGTGTATGATCAATCACTTTCAATAAACAATTGTATCGGGCCAGTTGGTATGGATCCATCTTGCTAGGAAGCGCAGCCACTATTACACAGAACATGGGCGTGTTCTGTGTAATAGTGGCTGCGCTTCCTAGCAAGATGAATCACTTTCAACTTGAAAGCAACCGTGTAGCTTTTGTATTTCCCCATAGTGTAACCACAGCACGGACACTTGCTAACTTGCTGCACGGACGTGCTAACTTGCTGCAACACGCACTTGCGACTTTAGCTTGGCTTGGATTGGATTAGGGCTCCGTGCGATGGATGTACTGTGTGACGCTTCCTTGCTCACATGTCAAGTAGTGATATCTCCGGGAAGTTGTCACTTCTCGGCGCAATGTACTACTTGTGCACTTCTTCGGACAGTGTTACGAGTTGGCCGCAGCTTGCATTAGAGGATACAGAGTGCAGCAAAGACGACCCTGTAGTGTGCATGTCTGACATTAACGATGAAATCGATTAGGAGTTCTTCTCCACTGGCGCTGATGCACCGTTCAGAGAATTCGCCCTGTTAGACGACAACGTCCCGGCTTGCTAGCCGCAAAGTGTCACAGAGATTGTCGTGGAGGTAGTGTGAGACACTACCGCTAGGGAGGTAGGGGACGAGGCACTGGAAGACAGCGGCAAGAACAAAAGCGTGAGCTGACCAGCTAACTTCGTAAAAGCCCTTGCTGGACTTTACAAAGCTTCTTTTGCACGAAAAACGATGAAAAAGCGGACAAGGGTGTACAATGTGTACAGAAGCTTTTCTTGTCCAAGGCGGAGAGGCAGCAGCAGAAAATTACTGTTTTTTTTAGAAATAAATGTTTTTTGCCCTTACACTTCTATTTAGACTTGTCATCCTTAATGTTTGCTAGATTCTAATCGTATATTTTTCCGGATCATACGTCTATTTTCTGCACTTCTTCCGAAAATGCATGAACGATGTTCTACTGTACCATGTGTTTGCTGATTAGTAAGTATGGAAGCTCTAGTAGACATAGTCTAAACATTTAACATTGTGGCGCTGGTCCAGGAATTTTACAATGACATCACCACTGGCATTTCCTTTTTGCACGTTTTCTCCATTACTAGATGTCATCTCGCAACAAGCTTGAAAATTTTGAAATTGTGTAAATGTAATTTACCAATGATTGAAAACTCACTGTTGTCTTTAGTGTTCCTTCAAGTAAAGAAAACCTTACGTTAAACTCAGCATTGAAGAAACTCTGTTTCCTCTTCAAGAGGGTTAAGCGATGCTTCTCAGTCTCTTCGTAGAAAGAAACCAGTTACGGAAATTTTATCTTTCGTGTTTAAGTAAAACAATCTTAGCTTGCACTACTTCTCAGTTGGTGCTCTTATTATTTAGGTTAGCCTCCTGCCCTACTAAACAGGTTTCTGTCAAATGTTTATGATTAGGTATTTTAGTTGTGCTCCAGTTGAAGCATTTGCATTGAGCAAGCTATGTAATGCACAGGACACAAAAACAATGTTCTACTGAAGCTCGTTATAAAGAAATAGCATGTAACGTAACATGTAGCTGTTTCGTGCTCTGTAGACATAATTGCCCCCAAACAATTAGCATGATTCATTTGTTTGCTTGTAATGTCTAAACCGATGGGAACTCCTTTAATAGGGGACAGTACTGCACAAAAGACGTATGTGTCGCTCACATTCACAGGAGTATATGTGTTCGGGTACATTTCGCACAATTTGCTGAAGGTGATTTTCCCTGTCTTCTTTTATCTTCTTTCAGATGCAGCGTCATGAGCGCTTCTCCAAGGAGTACCACAACCGCGTGCGTACGCTGGTACAGTGTCTGATACCGCACATCATGCAAAAGCACAGAGACCAGCGTAACGAGACGAGGATGGCCAATCAGGGGCTGGCGCATTTTCTTAAGGTGTGAAATCCCCTCTCGATTGTTCGATATCCTTTATATTCATGCCATAATTATGCCATGATAGTTAAAAAAAAATCCTACGCTTGTGGAGAACTGCGTATGTGTCAAAAGAGAAGAAAGTTACATGTGCAGTTAAATTCTCTACCATATAAAACAAACTCTGGCTGTCTTGACAGTTTGTTCAATTTTTTTTATTTTATTGGACAGAGCTGATTATTGCTAAAAGCTGACATGTACATGTTTGAGTCGGAATAGCATGGAAACATGGAGTGAGCTAAGAAAATGAACCTTGAACGCATTAATGTTTGGAAGCTAGTTTGTGTTGAATCCTGCTATTTTTAAAGCAAAAATGTAGGACTGAAGCAGATTAATAGCACGCGGACTTGAGTATGACGGCTCATTTTTGCCTCCCTTTTCTCTGTTCTACGTTTGCGTTATGCATTAGAAAATATACAGCGCAGTGCTGTCCTATTTTCTTTATTCTGTGTAGCGTTTTCAAACTGTTTTGGCTGTCGCTAATCTCAGTTTGTCATGTTCATATGGTGGAATCATGCAGTTTGTGTTTTTTGTTTGTTTTACATCTTTGTTTGTGTTTGTGAACTGTCACAGTAAAATCGGACTGTTCCTTTACTTTGCATACTAAGCCTCGTTTGATAATTACTATGCAGATTTTTTTTCTATTTCTTGGTGTGCTGGGTCACTATTATAGACAAAGAGTGAAGGCTTTGATAGAAACAAACTTTTTTTTTCTTTCTTGAATTCCAGAAATGCTTTTCTCTGATGGATCGTGGCTTCGTGTTCAAGCTGATTAACTTGTACTTGGAGAAGTTCAAATCCGGAGATGAAATGGTATGTTGCCGACATGTTTCAGGCTGTGAAGCTTCCTGTGTGATTATTTTATTTCAAGTTTATATGTTATTTCTTTTATATATTTGTTTATATTCGTCTTTCAGGAACTTCATTGCTACAAGTTTGACTTTCTGGAAATCATCTGCTCGCATGAGCATTTCATTGCACTTAATCTACCTTCCTTGAAAGGTGCTTACAGCCGAGGACACTCAAAGAATTCTAAAGGTATTGACAAGTGTTACCTTCTTTTCTTTTATTTTAATCTTTTACATACGTATGTATTTATCTTTGTTTATATTCTGTGTTGCTGCACTGATGTCAGTGTTGTGTATATGTTTTCTTCTCTCTCTCTTCTTGCTTAGCAGTGTGAATTTTTGTGTTTTAACCACTAAGAGTACCTCGTGTTTTTCTTTCACATTGCGTTCATTCTTGCTGATGTCTTCCCTGTTGTCTTGCTGCATTGTTATGCTGTTAGGAATGGGAGGCAAAATTATTGTGCCAATAAACGAGTGTACACATTTAGCATTTACGGATATGTTTTTATTTATAATGAAAGATTGAGGAATTGGGCTTTGTGGAAGACGAGAATTTGACGAAAAACTACAACACTTTATTGTGTGTCTACTGTTGGCAATCTATGCGGGATTAATTATACCATGCAAAAAATACACATTCATTTTAAACAAGTCCTTAATGAACGAGATTCACTTCTATGTGCAAGCAAAAATATGACTATGGATGTATGTAATCTTTAAACTGAATTTTACGGAAACAAAAGCTATCTTGAGTTTTTATGTCTATTGATGTCGCAGCCACAACATTGAAGACAAGTCTCTATGGCTCATTAGTGATGCAGGGCCTTCTAATTTTTATTATACGTAGTTTTATGTTAGGGTTAAGGTATCTGATTTGCAGAGATAAGCATTGTGTAAAGTTACTGGCGGCTATTGTACCACCGCTGATTGCTGCATAGGAGTCTCTTTTTTTTTTTCTTTTTCATGCACATCTTAGGCAATATGTCCGGCTCAGGGATGTGCTTGTTGTTTTGCACATGCACATTTTAATTTTCTAATACTCTTATCACTGCAGTTTGTTTGCACACTGCTTGCACATATTTAAGCACAAGGACAAGGTGTTCTTGCTTCTTTTTTTCTTGCTCGCTGGCAGCACAGGCACCACAAATGCAGTAAACTCTATAAAAAAATGTCAAGCTTATATATGTAGTTATGTATGTGCTCTGTTGGCTCACCAAATGTTCTTGCATTCAGGTAGGATTGACATAGAAAATCCAGTTATATATGCCTCTGATGGCGCTTTGGCATGGGCATTGTGTTAGGCATTATCAGATGGTTTCATTGGTGCCTTTACTTTAGTGCTAGCTGGCGAAATAGGAGAGCAGGAGTACATAGTGATCACGATGAGATGGGGTTACTTAAGCTCTACCTTTTTGTCAAGCTATCGCTAGGATTATGCTCCATGTCCTCCAGGCAAGCAATTTTTTTTTCATGTGCACTGCTAATCTGTGCAGCATTGCTGTAGGCAAAAAATATTACCTATTTCTTCTATTGTGCATTGTTCCTGTAGGATGAATACAGTCAAACCTAGATACTATATCATATAAGAGTCGTAGCATGCCCGTGGAAATCTGCAAAATTAAAGCCCTTCAAAGTAATATTTTTTAGGGTCCATGTGATTGGGCTGTGGATGTTATGACTACCATGTTGTTAGCCAAGTTTCCCACCTAATACAACTTTATGAAGACTTCTGAAGTCGACCTGCATGTGCATTTAAGTGCCATCTCATGATAGGAAATAAAAAGTGTACACTTACAATAAGAAATACATGTTTCGTGCTTGCACCTACTTTCATGTTCATGATAGACTAGCATAACCTTTTTTCAATTTTCTGGTGAGCCAGCATAGTACGATAGTAGAAAAGTCGCTATAGACACACTGAGTCAAAACCTTTCTGCAGTGCAGTTCAGCACAGCCTGTCGAGCGACTTGAAAAAAATAAGTATAAAATAAAAGTGCATATAGCAAATAACTACACATATTGCAGCACTCCTAATGCAATGGATTAGGTTAGGTTGGAGGCTTTCTTAAATGGGTTCTTGGGGCCACTTCAAAGTAATGTTTGCCCATATCATATTACGGAGCTTTTTCAAGAGTACCAGCAGCTTAAAAACCGTTGGATAGCAACTTCTGTGATTGTAACATACCCAACCCTGTTGTCTCATTCTGCACTATGTTTGCATCTGCTGTGGAGCAGACGAAAGCGAGGAGGTTGCAACGGGCGGTAAGTTGCCCACTCTTGGCTGGCTTGTTTTAAACGGAGAGTGTTCTTAAAGGGAAACAGTTTTTTTTTTTATTTTTCAAAAAGATCAGACATCCTGCACCTCCCCGATCACCCCGCCACGGCTCTTTCCTCTCTGAGTTCTTTGGTGTGTTCCTTCCTTACCCTGCTTGAAGGCCTTCGCTTGTGTGAGCGGCTCCCTCTGGTGCTGGCGTTTCTCGCATCTGCTGCGAGGTGCACGTGCGAGACTGGTGGTCCACTGCGTGCTGTGTGGTGTGTGTGTGTGTGTGTGTTCACTAGACTTCAGGGCCAGTGGAGAGTGCTGGTTGGGTGGTTACTTGGAGGAAAAGAAAAAGGACAACACAGCTAGTGGGTGGGTGAGGGGGCATTTTCATTGTATGTGCCGGGGAAGCTGTGAAAGGCGGGCTAGTTTGGTACGTATTTCAAAAGTTGAAAAAAAAAAAAAAACAGCGCTAACACTGCATGAAGAAAGATGACATGAAAATGGGCACTGGCTGCCACTTAAATGCTTTTTTCATGAAACTAAGTATACTTATATATATATTTAAGTAAATGAAATCTTGAAAAATTATTTGGTGAAGATTTCAATCATGTATATGTTGTCAGATACTGGATTTCTTTGTCACTTTTGACAAAAGAAATCTGCTGATGTCATGCATGAGATCGAAATTTCAACCCAATTTTTTTCATGCTTTAGTGTACTTATACTATATACTTGGTTTCTTCAATAAAACTTTCAGTAGGTGTTTAGTGCCTGACCCCACTTTCCTTTGTCCGCTGTTAGCGCTGTTACCGTTTGAGTCGTGTGGGAGACATGGGCAGTTGGTGAGAGTGAATGGCATAAAAGGTAGGAGGGTGGACTACATTTTGTCCTGTTCACTACCCTATGCTTTAAAAAGGAAAAGGGTAAAACTAAAGAGAGAGGGGAAAGAAACCCTCAAGTTGACTTATTGACAAGCATGGTTTAGCATAGGGCACAATTCACTACTCTATGCTTTGCATGGAAAAAGGTAGAATGAAAGAAAGAGAGGGAAAGAAACCCTCAGGTCGGCTGATTGACAGGTATGGTTTAGCATAGGGTACAGTTCATTATCCTACGCTTTTAAAGGAAAAGGTTAGAATAAAAGAGGAAGAGGGAAAGAAACCCTCAAGTCGGCTGATTGACAAGTATGGTTTAGCATAGGGTGCAGTAAGTAGGCTGTTTAAATGGACTAGAAGCCGGCACACTTACTTGCCTGTATGTGTAAGAAGGTCAAGTGGCTATGACATTGGTGTGATTCTGGAGGATGCTACAACTGCTTTGATGGCTATATGGGCCTTGAAAAGCCAAGTTGAATTACTTGTCTGGGGTTTTATAAAAAGAGCAAAAGCTGTCTATAAAATGTCATTAAGAATATGTTTATAAGATGAGAGAAAAGACACATTGGCAGGTTGTTAATCAGAAATCAGGTTGTTAATCAGCGTAAATTACACTGCAAAGCACGTCCACAACGGTGAATATGGTGACTATGGTACATTTTGCTCCAAGTAACCATAGCAGCAGACTTTTGTGTTCAGTGCAACTGTAGTTTATTAGCCGTGCTGTCTGCTGAGCTGCTGAGATAGAAGTGTGCTGCTGGTGCTATCGCTGCTGCTTAGTTTTCAGTGGTGTGTAATAGACGTGTCGAAGTGGGACTGATGCCCCTGTTTGCTTGTGTAGTCTGTGTCCTTTGTCATTTATTGTATGCTTATATTCTTATTTTTTTGTTAGCAGTATATAGTCACGTGTCATTTTTCTTTTTCTTTTTTGACTTGTTTGACAGACAGAAATGGCAGTGTTTTTAACGATTGCTGAAAAATTTTCATCGAGAGGAAGTGGAACATATTTAGCTCATACTGAAGCATTTAAAAAACTTTATTTTTTTTTCTTTGAACTGGCTCTTTGCTTTCCTAAAATAAGTACAGGCTACAATGTAGTAGTTAACAAATACAAAGCAATAGTTTTATAAAAGCTGCTTTTTTAAGGGTGTAGCTTCAGCTACTTCAATTGTACCCACATTTCAAACCCACAGTGAAAACCCTGCACATTGATAAATTGATAGCATTTCATCAAACACAGCATAGCACATCAAGAAATTTTCTCAAAAATTGATTTCTGTCCTGCTGAGAATACGCAATTGGTGATGATCACTGAAATTATGAAGAGGTCAAATGCCAGTAAATTCTTTGCTTTGCTTCTCATGGCTTGTTTATATATCTCTACTTCATGTGAATGTGGCTGATTGCCAACCGTAGCTTTATTCTGAGCAGCATGCTTTTGCAGTCTATTCAGTTGTGGCTTTCACTGGAGGCATGCTTCAGAGTAGAGCCTGCCCCTTGTGTTCATAAGCTTAGCTGTAGCAAGCGACATTTGACTTTCTAGCTTTCTAGCTGCTTTTTATGTGGTAGCATTGAGGCTTTAAGTTTTCGAGCTACATATTGCGTCTTCACATTCCCGAAGCAGTATTTTTATCTGTTTTATTTTGCCTGATACTATTCTATTTATCCTAAGCCTGGCAGTATGGCTTTTTTTTTGTAATGATGTACTGTATTACAGTTTGTCTATATATTCAATATAGGTGGTCATGAATGAATGTTGTAAGAATGAATGTGCTAATTAGTAAAAGCTAATGCTAGGTGTCATTAAGGCTACAGTATCACTTGGGGGTTGTCATAAGTAACTGCTTACGCCTCACAGTTTCGGATTTCTTGGTGTTGGTTTTACGCCCACAAGTGAACACTTCTGGTGATGGGATTGGCTTTGTGTTTTTAATTTTTCAACTTTGGCAATAGAGATGCTTGCTCATTGGTTTTCATTAGGGTGTTTTTGTTTACTGCTTCTTGACTGGCTACTGACATCTGCTATCACGTACTGGTCATCATGACTCATTATCATCTTAATTGTCATGCAATTTTGTTTTGTATTTTTGTAATTACATGTTTTGTATTTTTGTAATTACATGAGTGGAGTAGACACATCAGAACTGCTGCTCGTACTTTGTGTTTGCCAAGTGTGATTGATAAAAATTCTCAAATTGTGTGACAGCGTGTACTGTGCAAAAACTTATCAGATTTTTATTATTAGAAATCTACATCAGTAATGGTTTCAGTGTTTGAAGATACCACTTTCCTAATCGATTATTTGTTCGTTTCAATAAATGCAGCTCACTTTCATGATTTTAACCTACAGAAACTTGTGGCTCATTTGTCATGCTCCTGCTTACCTGTTAACCTTACACTATCATCATTTGGCCCATTATTTACTTATCTCTTCGGTGTTAAAAACTTTGGAGTATGGAGAATGTCCTACATGACAGCCTGACAGCTGTTTCTACCATAATTACTCACATAATTTGTGCCCTGGCATTATTTACACACCCCTAACATGTGGTCAACTTTACGAAAAAAAATATTTACTCACATATTTTGCGCTCCCCGACCTGCTCGAGCCAGCTTGCCGGCACGTGAACAAAAGCTTTGGACCTTCAGATTCTTTGGACAGGCGCGCCACGCGCACGCCTTGCCGATCGGGCGAGCGCAGTGAAACAAGCTGCGAGTGTGCCCCGCCGAGCTGGCTTCGTGCATTTGGCTCGCCTGATTGGTGGGGCGAGTTCAAATGCGTTCGCCAAATCCCCGTGTAGTTTGCGTGCCCCCTTTTTGGAGCCCCAAAATCGAGAACAAAAGTGTGAAAATTATGCAAGTAAGTATGGTAGTAACGAAGCCTAACCAACATTATATGTGAAGTCTGTGCGTGCACAAGTACTGCTAGTCATAAAGTTCATTCATGTGGATTACCCTAAAGCTTGTCTTCTTGCTGCCACATTCCAATATATGTAAAAAAAAACGTATTTATTGGTCAAGTGTCAAATAAGATATAGCAGTTGTGCAAAAGAATTTGTGCTGGGTTTTTCACTGCACTTGCTTCAAACGTCTCATGAAGATCTTTGCTGCAGAGCTGTATTGCTGTATTGCAGAAAGATATGGCTTTATTAAGCGAGTGATTGCATGTTGACAGACTTAACAGTGAAATGAGCCATTCATAACTGCATCGAGAAAACATCATAAGCATACTGATGTGTCTACTCCTTTAAAGCATATTAGAATCCTAATTATTTGCCTACAAAAAATTTTTGTAATGCAATATGTATTGACGTGCCAGCTTCGGCTGGTCGGTACATGCTTGCAAAATACAAACAGCGCAATCGACTGGACAAACGGGCAGAGACAGTGCTTCGTTTTTCTCAGTCTTATTCATTTTTTCCTTTGTGCTATTATTGTGTTTTTCAAGCAGTACATGTATGCTTGCATTACTGCTTATTAGAAGAGTGCTTTTCAAAGGAGAAAAGAAACTCATTATAAAAGCATTATTAGAAGAGGGCTTTTCAAAGGAGAAAAGAAACTCATTATAAAAGCAGAAGTTGTATTTGGATAAATACCACAGCAAATGGACCAGTTATGTACTGCCCAAGCTTGCCATGACAATGATGAGGGATAAATAGATGCAGAATCACTCTGCCAATAGTTGTTGCTTGTTTCAGAGGGCATTGAAAGAAGTACTAAATTTGTTTAGGTTGATTAGGTACACTTACATAAGCGCCGTCTCCTCACTTTCATGGCAACAGGATGAATACTAGAAAGTAAATGGAACTTCATAAAGTTCTTTTGCTTTAACGTTGTGGTGATAGATATAGTAATGTTGTTTTTATTTGGGCCGTTTAGCTGAATAATTTGCTTGAACATTGCCTAGTTTAGTCTGTGAATCTTTCAAAACACAGCATAGGGAAATTGCAGGCATAAACTGTGCCTTGAAAATTTATCTTAGTAACTTTCAGAAGTCGTCTTTACTTTTCTTTCACTCTTGCTTTCTTCTTGGTCTGCTGAGCCTTTTTTCACAACTGAGTGTGGCCTTCTCAGTACTTCAGAAGAGCAGTCTATCATAACGCAGCTCGAACGGCGTTATTTTTTTTTTACAATGTCTCTTTCAACACACAAGTAAAAGGCTGTGTTGTTCCTTCAATTATCAAAACCAATTCATCTTACATTACTCTGTATACAGTTCATGTGTTTCTAAGAATGCATAGTCTAAAAGAGCCAGAAATATAATTGAGTTTGTCATGCTCTCAATAAATTTGTTGGCCTTGTTGAGCAAAGTAGGAGCATATTCAGATGCAGACTCACAGTTGTCTGTGTGAAGCGCAAAATGAACCCACTGCAAGTGGTAGTTGAAGAGCTTGGCCTATCTTAACTAAAAAGAATACAAGGGAGACGTGTCAAAATGTACTTGAAGGGTGCTGGAGGTGCAGGCTTGCGATGTTTTACTGTAATAACGATCGGTAAATTTCTTTAATGTAAAAAAAAAGTACTTTCGATCTCATCTTGTACGACGTTCCGCTTGTATTGTACTGTACCATGACTAGTTCTGTTCTCATTGTATTCTCTGTCACCCTGTGCTTTCTCCTCACGGCGACTCGGCAGACTACGAGATGGAGTATCGGCTGTCGGAAGAGTTCTGTCGCAGCCACTTTTTGGTGGGTGCCCTTCTGCTGGAGCTGCGGGCAGCACTCAGCGAGGTTCAGAAGGTTCGGCAGAGAGCCATCAGTGTCGTGTGCAACCTGCTCGCCAAGCACGCATTTGACGACCGTTACCAGGGGAAGGTACGCGTGTTTACACACTGACTTGGTTAGCATGTAGTATCTCAGTAAATTTCAAATGCTTTTTAGGCATAGGGCTTCTCATTGAAATTACTCAAAAGAAGGACAACCACTGTACTGTTTAGATGCTAGTGATCCTGCAGCCTATGCAGAGGTATCTATGGAAGCAGAGTATGAGCATCAGCAAGATTTAGAACTTCGTTTACTTCATGACTTAGCTGCGTTGGCCACCTGTGAAGTGCATGTCCGTTTCCAAAATGTCCAGCTTTCTTATTTTTTGTCCCATCATTACATTATTCTGCTCTTATTACGAATTGAGCATTGTGAGGATCATTGCCAAGACATGTCCCAGCTCTTGTGTAGTCACGTGCTTTTGCTGCTACATTATATGACAAGCTCATGCTCATCGTTGAGGCCGATTATAAGAAATCACTAGCTGAGCATGGGGATAAAAGTAGTCTATAAGAAGCAGTTATTCAGGTGTTACGGTGTTCATAGTGCGAGACTTGTCAGTTTATCATCTTCCTCCTTTCTCGCTGCGCAGGCCCAGCAAGCTCGGCTCGCGTCTCTCTACTTGCCCCTCATTTCTGTGCTTCTGGCCAACATCAACCGTTTCAGCAGCAGCACCGAACAGCAGCAGCAGCAGCAGCAGACACCGTCTGCTGCCGCTGGTGCAACAAACACAGTGGCATCCAGCACCTCTCCGTCACGCAAGATGAGCAAGGCTGACAGTCTCAACCATGCGGCTTCACTTGCCGAGGAACCGGGAACTCCGCAGAGCGTGGTGTCTTATCGCAATAGCGTAGCTGTTGACGGGCCGGCTTCTTTGCCAGGCTCTGGACGCCACAACCGAGATTCCAACTACTTGTCTATCATTGCTGGCCAAGGTGGGTGAAAGTCTGCTTCCATTCTTATTGTAATTGCATTGAACGCAAGTCTTCTCCCCTCTCCGAATCCCTGAAAAGAAGCTAGAGGTGCAGCAAGAGGTCCAGTAATTACCAGCATGACTGACACCAACTTCAGATGTCTTGAATAAGACTTGTTGGGCGAGTTGGTTAACGTCAATCGAGTACATAGTAGTGCGAACTTGGGAAACAGAAAGGTCGGGTCAAGAAGAGAGGCACGGGTTGCATTACTGATATGTCTGTTTCACTTTACCAAAATGAGCTTCAGCTTCCTGACACGCGAATGTGATCAGTGTTTACCGATTTTGATGCACGCATGTGCAGAGAGTTGAAATCTGGGGGCCTGTTCTTTCGAATAAACAGTTGAAGTTTAGTGCCCGACCTTTCTGTTCCACCCTACTTAATTTTCTCTGATCTGTGTTTTCCAAGTTTGTGCTACTATGTACCCCATTGATTTTCACATGCCATGACTAAAATCTTCGAGACATTATTTCTCAGGAAGTTTTTGGGCGGAACAACTCACTTCAGTTTGTGGAGCCATTTGCCCGATGTATCACAGTATTTTAGCCAATAATGAATAAATGCCATAACAAAAGCACCAAGCCAAAGAATTTGGCAAGACGTCACTACTAACTTACTTTGGTGTGAAAGTAAGATTACTGTCCAAACAAAGCCTCATTTTTCGATCAGCGAGCTTCGCTTACCGGCACCAAGCACTTTGCCTCTGCTCGCTAATACAGCATACTCCGTTCATTGGAAGATCAGTATCGACTCGATGAATGTATAACTATCATGTGCCCTTTTCATTTGGAAACTAACATCACTGAAAGGTGGCCCTGGGGTGAGGCAGATCGGACTAAATATTCCGCTGAATGGATGGGCCGAATTTTCGTGATACACTTTTTATGCCATTTTGCTACATTTGATTTAATGCTTTTACTTCACACTGCTTCATGTCTATTAATAGCTACAAAAAGAAAAGCATACCTTTCCTCGTAGTCTTGATTGTGGTCGAGTTTGCGGCACTTCAAGTGCTAAGAAAACATATTTGTGTGACTGCAAGCATGTTGGTTGCAAGTGTCATCATTTGTCTCTGACGTCTTGTCTTGTAAGGACATGTTGAAAGCTCGGTATTTGTGTGGAATGAAATTTTTGGTGATATTATTGTGATTTCATAACGTTACTGAAACATTGCAATTGGTATGATTTGATCTCAATGTAAATTTACTCAATAGAGCGATTCATGTGTTTGGTATCTGGACATATATATTTTTTTTTTCTGCAGAAGTTTTAAAAGTCCAGTGCCTTTAGTCACATGTCCTCCAAATAATTGATAAGAATATTGCCCAAGTCATACCCTATATAATGGCGTCTTGCTGGTGCACTTAACAATATTACCTTCCGTAAATATGAAGTTTCAGGGCTGTCATAATAACAACTTATTTCTAGTGCACCTTTTACAGATGTATTCACTAGTGTTAGACACACTGTAGACCAGGTGTATTAACACACTGCCCTACTTGCCTGAATTTAACAGTTGAATTATTTCTTCACAACTAAAATCTTACCATAGCAACTCATGGTATATTCCGAATATAATGTATGTCAAGAGAAATATTGGAAATCCACACAAAGTAATCATCATGTCTGGTCATTGACTGACTGAATTGACTACCTTAAGGCATTACCAGCCATGAAGTTTCACTTGGGAAAGTGATTTTAAAATAACAGTAGAGGCAAGTGCGCCTAAATTAAATATGGAAAGTATTGCAAAATAGTGCGCTACATTGGTAGAATAACATGAGATGCAAGTTCAAGGCAGCATGCCTCACTGCATGCCGATTATTTACTATTCGTACACTTCGCTGCATTACGTTGACATGAATGATTTCATTCAAGCCTGGCGACGCATATCTATTGTGAATGAGTTCAATCGAGACACTTGTTGAAAAATGTTTCCATATATTTTAGCACATGCCTCGGTTATTTTTTTTTTTTATGCTCACAAAACGAGTTTCCTTCAGATTGAATGCCTTCTTTGACAGCATCTGCTGAAATAAATTTAATTTTGTCCGCATCAGTATTTCTCACAGCGCAAGAGTCATCGGAAAATAATTATGTGAAGCACGCTTGCTGGGGCGCGGCATTGAATATTTTGAAAGTCGAGTTGATTATTTTCGATATGAAGAGGAACAGTACAGCACTTTGTTTTAGCTAGAGGTTTGTGAGGTGGATTTACAAAGTGTTGCTTGAAATAGACAGTAATACCTCAGCTCCACATACTCATGTTCAATCAATCAATCAGTTTATTATCATGTCATAAAAGGATGTTACAGGGAGTAACATCCTGTATTCCTGTATTTCTGTTACTGTATTCCTATTTTAAAACTAAAACAATGCTTGGTGGCTGCTCCACTCAGCTATGTATAAAACCAGACTCTTCAAGCAATTTGTTTTATCACAGATGGCCTTCTAAGACGAATGGTAAAAAAGGCTTTTATTTTGTACAAAGCATTCTTTCAATAGCTCTTTGTCTGTTGATTTTTGCACACTTTGTCATACTCCCATATGTTGATGTTGCCTGTACAGCTGTCATCTTTGGGCTGTTGTCCTCGTCACTGTGTGTGTGTTTGTGTGTATGCAGGCATCGAATCGTATGTTGTGTGTTTGTGTACTATCTGATGCAAGACTATCTATAGTATTATCAATGCCCTTGATAGTTAAGACATTATCTATCAACTGTATTATTAATAGATTACCATTGATTTTGATAGTGAAAGTGGACTATAGAGAGGGTGCAGAATATGTAAAAATTATGTAAAATCGCTAGAAGCACTAAGTGTGTGCACAACATAATCTCGTTAACGCTTCCGTGTTTTTAACTGCGTTACAAGTGTTACTGGCAGTCAGCTGAATCGGAACTCGTGGTGCTCATCTCACTACGCAAGGGTCAATCAATCAATAAACTATGTTTATTTTAATGTTATGAATACCATTTTCATTTGTGGGCTGTTGTAATACTTTTTACATTTTGTATTGCACTCTAGATATGAGACACTGCAATACCCACAGTGGCACTAATGATAGCAATCACATACACTCCTTGACATTATTCTCAGTTAAAGAAAATATATTGACGCCTTTGATGGTCATTCTATAGATAGTTTTGCATCACTACTGCCCGTGTACGTGTGAATTGTATTACTGTTGTTTTGGTAGGTTTTCTGATTCTCGAGGAGCACACAGCGAGTCCATGTTTGTCTTCTCTTTCTTCCTGACTTGCGCCGCGCTTTTTAGCCTCCCCACCGCTTCCTCTAATGAAGAGGACAGCTTGGCTAAAATGGCGCCTCTCGCATTCCTCAAGTAGTAAGTAGCGACCGGTGCCACTGCCAAGGCCAGCAGCTGTAGGCGGTTCGCTTTCTTCGTAGTGTGCACTTTGAGCTTTTGTGTTTACGTAGCGGCTTCTTCTGTTTCTTCTGTTCATGCGCCTTTGTAGTTGACACATTGCTGCCTCTGTTGGCTTGGCTTTTTATGTTTGTACGTTTAGCAAAAGAATGTATAATTTGTTGTCCTAAAATGAACCTAATTCATCACATTTAGGCGTCCTACTTATATAGGTCCCTGGAGATTGACATATTATGCTATTTTCGATCCTCTGGAGTTCAGCTTCAGTTGTGTGTGCTGCCTTTACACATCAAGTACATTGTACAAACTAAAGTATCTGTGAGCTCAAACGTCTTTGTTCACACAAACATGCAGCTGCAGTAATTTGGGTTCAAAGTTGATCGTTAAAAATATATCAAGGGCATTAATTACTGTAGATATGGCCTTGCATCCAATATGTTCATCCTCGCAATGCTCAGAACACCTGCTAGGTAAATGTTCGTTTAAGTTGAACGTTAGACCCAATATATTTCATTAGATGACTGGAACTCATGTCGAAGAAAACACGTAAAAAATAACATGTCCTCATTGCGTTGTTACAGGTATGGAAATACCCGTGTCTATATGTTCTTGTGAATCTTAACGCAACTCTTGTAGTGTGCTCATGTATGCCACTCATATTTCCGTTCAGATGATTAGTAAAAAGACACTAAATAGTGCATGGTTGTAGTGCATCGATTGATACTAAAATTGCATGCATTACTTATTCTTTGAAAACTCCAGATTTCCATCCATTAAATTCTATTCATTAAACAAGGGCTCTATTTTTCAAGTTTTACTTCTTGTCATTCAATTCTCTGCATGTCTCCAAATGTAGCTACACAATTAGCACAAATGGTGTTTCACAGTTGTATATCTAGGACGAAAAAAAGGAGAATTTTGAGGGTTCTTTTTTTTTTTTGTTAAGTGCAGCATTAATTAGAACTAACAGACAAGGAAGCCAAGGAAAGTATAGAGGATGGCATTTGTAGAAAGCATGATGTATATGTAAAGAAAGTGGTTGCAAAGATGACTTACCGGCGGCAGAAACTGAGCCTGGCTACAAGCAGCGCTGAATAACACTCCCACCTTTAAATGTACCCATGTACCCCTTAAAGGGGCTCAGAAACACTTTTTCAAGTAACCATGGAATGGATTCACTAAAAAAGCTTATTGCCTCGCGTATTCAACGCCACAAAATTATGAGAATCTGTCCAGTACGAGCAGAGTTACAAAAATTTGTTGCACGCTGCAATCGCATTCTCTCTTCTCTCGTCCCGATTAAAGTGCTGGAGGCTAAGCAGGGAGGGATGGCAAGGGCATAGAAAATACGTCATGCGGGCCTCGTGACCTTGAGCACTCTTTTTTTTTTTTTACCTTGGAGCACTTTTTTTTTCGAATTGGTGTTTTTTTTTTGTGTGATCGTGCGCGCACATGTAGACAAGTCGCGGCCTCCCACGGCGGTCCCTGTGACGACCGAGCGCGCCATGTTTAAATCAGCCAATGGCTGGTAGATGGCCTTCTACTGGTGATTTTTGAGCGTCTTCGGTCATTTCTAG